TTGAATGGAAATATGATGTAAAATATTTGTAAATTTATTGTTTGAACTTGAAAAATGACTAATAATATACCTATTAGGATTTTAGTATCTTTTTTGAATGGAAATATGATGTAAATCGTTATAGTTGTATTCGATCAAAAAATAACCATAACGAAAATAACAATCGTGCGTGTGTTGTACTTCTTAATCTCTTAATAATGTGCATGTGATTGTTGTAACTTATGACTGATGTTGTACTTTTTAATTTATGGCATATGTTGTCTTTTTTCTATGCTTTTAGGAACCGAAATGGAGTATGCTTTTGACATACCTTCTAAATGCTCCAGAGTCGTGACCAATAGGTGCGACCTTAAGGTTGTGAATCACGTATTTGATGAGCTGGATGATGAACATAAACATCTTTTTTTGGAATCTTGCTTCCGCCCATTAGTGCACATTCCGGAGTTGAAGTTGTCGTCTCAAATAATCCACCACCTTCTTATGAGGACCTTGAAATCATCCGACAATGAAAATGATGCCGTGTGGTTCAAGTTCGGAGAAAACCAAGCTAGACTCGGGTTACAAGAGTTTTCTCTTGTAACCGGATTAAAGATCGTGGATGATCCCGAGTACGAGGTCCCCGAAAGTAGTTCGCTTTTGCATCTATTCAAAAATAAGCGTGGGAAGATAATGAGGAAGGATTTGCTCGAGAAATTTGATGAATTGAAGAAGAAGGAAGATGCAAACTTGAAATACAAATTGGGGCTTATCACGGTCCTCGAGCACGTGATTTTGTCTGCAGAGTGTCGGACTCTCGTAGATGAAAAATGGTTCCATTTGGTTGAATATTTGGAGCATTTCAATAGTTATCCTTCGGGAAACTTGTCGTATGGGTACACCGTGAAGTTGTTTAAGCGGAACAGTTTCGGTAAAACAAAAAACCCAAAGTCGATAACATATGCTCTTCACGGATTTCCCCTAGCTATCATGGTATTTTTCATATAAATATATGTTTATATTTCTTATTTATTTATGTTAGTTGTATTCTTAATTTTGTTTTGTTGTTTGCTAATCAGGTTTGGGCATTTGAGGCACTGCCTGAGTTAGGAAGACAATATGCTGAACAATGTTCTACTGGCGGACTTCCGAGAATAATGTGTTGGAAAATGGACAAACATGTGCGAAGCGAGCAACTTATTACGTTTTTCAACACGTTGGAGGTAATTTTAGTTATGGATAATTCATCTTATTTATTCTTATAGTTTTGATAAAACTAATTATTCTACAATCAGGTTCAAGTTCGACGAACGTTACAACCTTCAAGTGATGAAGTTGAAACTTCATACTTTAAGGATTTCGGCATAACTTCAGAGGATCAAGAAAGTGTGCCTGAAGATGAGGAAGAAGAAGAAGGAGAAAAAAATGACGCTGAGGATGAGGATGGTAAGGAAGAGGAGGAAGAAAAAAATGATACATCTCCATCCGATCCACCGCAACCCCAAGTTTTGGATGCTGAAAATATTCGAACTATAGTCAGGGAAGTTGTGACGGAAGTTGTGAAGGACGAGATGAGAATATTTTCCGAGCGAATGGAGATGATGATGGAGAAGAAGAGGGAGCGAATGGAGATGAAGATGGACATGAAGATGAACAATTTTTTTGACCGAATAGAAAAATTAGTTTTTCAAGCAAAAGCTGGTCCATCTACCCGTGCTACCTATGACGGGACAAATGTTGATGAAGAGGTTGATCCGGAGACCGGTCGAACAATAGATGGTGTTGAAGGTATTTTTTTAAAATAAATGCATCATATCCATGTTCTTACTCGATTATTAAAAAAAAAAGAAGAAGAAGTTATTGTAATAATTTTTTTACATTAAGATATATTTTAAAACAAATGCAACGTGTTATTGAAACACGTATTTTGTTTTCCTCTTTCGCAGACACAGTGAAATCACCATGTCCGATGCCCCAGCAAGAAATGGCTGGACTTAATGATGATGCGGGTATGTATAG